ATGTATCAGCGGATTTCAAGCTTTGTGTACTTTTTCTCCCTTTGTCAGTACTATTAAAAAAATTTCGGCGGTTGGAATGTTTGAAAAATACCTCAAAATCTGCCTTTTTTTTCTCTAAATACGAAATAATGGGGGGGGGGGGGTTGATCCAATAGCCCAGACCCCCTCCCCGGTCGAAAAGTGGGGCGGGATATATAGGACATGAAACAAACATTTGTGTACACCTTTTCCCCATACTGATACTTAATCGGTTGATTTTTGATACTTTATCGGTTGATACAGTATCCGTTTCGAGGTGATACATTATCGGATACAGTTATTTTGTAGTTACATTATCCGTCGACACGTGATACATTATCGGATACAAATTTTACTACACTATCAGTCAATTTTTGCCATATTATCGGTTAGTGATACAATATCGGTCAATTTGTGATACATTATCGGTTGGTGATACGTTATCCGTTGGTTACTACATTATCAGTTGTAACAAGCTTTTACTGCTGTGGAGTCACGCTCACGCGCATGCTGCACGCATTCTTAAAGACGAGGCCCACACGCATTTTGGTATTCCAATTCGTCGAAGGAGCCTGGATTGCGTTTGTACTACCTAAGTGCGACTCGAGCGAGCCTTGCGCCATCGCATAAAATGGCTGCCGCCGGATTTGTCTAAAGTTTCCGTGCACAAACAGTACATGGCGCTTTGTGACAACATTTGGAAGCCCAGTGCACGGCCGTTTCACCGATTAAAAAAGTACGCCCTCTGTTGGCGAGTTGCAGTTAGTGGTTAAATCACGTGACAGCTGGGCGCTATGCATTAAACATTTACGCGCAGCGATCATTCATTCATTCATTCATTCATTCTTTATTTTCCCCATAACGTAAGTTGTATAATAAATATAAATAGATACGATCAATGTGGATGGAGTCCCTTAAAAGCATATGCTTGTAGGGAACTCCAGTATATGTATTACTATACACATGTTTATGTTTTATATATGTAACCTAAATTAACACATACAACACTTACACAAAATACACAACACAATGAAGAACACATGGCGATTGATCGCCATCGGTCGTGCACAAATTCTGACCTGTGTGCTTTTTGTGTTGTGTGGTGACTCGTGACCCGGTATGATTTCGCTAATGCGGGGTTGTTGTTTCCACTACGAAAAAACTTAACATCATTTTTTAAATTGAAATCTGGTGGTTTGAAGTACAATGTGTCGATATATCAACACATTGGTAATCTATGTTTACGTTAATATGGACAAAACATTTGGGTCACGTTGCTTTCGTGAATTTTCTGCCAAGATTTAGAGTGAATGAAACAGGAGTTCGTCAAATCGCGACGTACGTGTAGGCAGTGTAGTGTACGCAATTATGGGCAATTTTCGTCATGGCGCATGGCGACCTTCGTCGTGCCCTTGTTATGGTACGATTTCGCGGATTCAGACAGAAATCTCGAAGGTAAATATACAGATTATGTATTTGTTTTGCTCAGGATATGTAACTTTTGTTTTTTCATAGCCGACACAACTTTTTTCCCCACGCCTTGACCTGACCAGCCTTTATTGTTGCACATGAAACAGTCGTTGTGTAGGCGCATATAACCATCCAAAAGCACGCACTATGAAACTACACAACGACACTTGTATGTGAAAAAAATCATCTAAATTATACTATTTATACATAAATATTTTCTCCTTGGGTCATGTTTATTATTACTTGTATTTTGCAATACTTACCCCCCCCCAAAAAAAAAAAAATCATCACAAATAATACCATGGGGAAGAATGTTGCAATCTGACGCTGCTATTTTTCTTCATATATCGTCTCAATGAAGGTCAGTTATTACAAAAATGATGACAAGACATGAATGTTATGGGAGCCTAGTGGACTGAGAAACATTTCCAATTTTGTTAGGAAATTTTCTTGACTCTCCATTGACTTTATTCACAACCGCTTAAGAAGTAACGTCAGGTTGCAACATTCTTTCCGTCACATGCATTCTTCAAAGAGAGAATGCTTGAGTTTGGTCAGCATTGCCATGGGCATAAATTGCCTTTATGACCATGGAGGAACAGCATTGGATTGTTGATGTATTATAGGTACCCTAAATGTGTCGCCGTCCCTAAAGTGGCGCAATTTGATTTTCGGCCGGGCCTACTGTCTTGGTAGAGCATTTTTGCCTTAAATTTCAAATTTGACCTGGAGGCCGAGTTGACTTCAGACCGAGTTGACCTTGAATGAATTCGACTTGAGACCGAGTTGCCTTCGACCGAGTTGACATGGGACCTAGTTGACGTAAACCGAGTTCGATCGAGTTGACATGGGATCGAGTTGACATGGGACCGAGTTGACTCGAAACCCATGTAATGACATGTGCACAAACATGTGTACACTATCTGTAATGTGTACTTTAATTTGCCCTGTATAGGAGTAGTGGTGGTTGTCTCTCTACAATCTGGAGTTAACGGCATTCCAGCATGAGGCACAAGTTTCTACCCTGCCTTGATGAAGGACACTGCTGTCAGAAAATTTGACAACTTTCATCGGTGAGCACTATTTTATCTACATGTATATATTTTTTTACTAGATTGATCATGGCAATGTGGCATTTGTTTCTACTTATTTATAAATGTACATACGTATACACGCATGTAAATGTGCACATGAAATAGTGAAGAAACTGCAACCACCTAAAAAAAATTCAATCAATATTAAAAATAAATCTGAATTGTCTTCGGGAGTGTGAATATGCTTGGACCTTTTGGCTTTCATAACATTTAACTTTTAAATCAATTCCTTAAATCAACATTTTCCAATTGATTTGTTTTGGATTCCCAATAGTTTTATCACATGCTCAACCTTCCTAATTTCCTAAGCTGAGTTCATGCAATATGCATGTGTGTCACTGTGTTGAGACCATGAGAGTAAATTTAATCATCATAATTCAAGAGTATTGCTAACTAGTTTCAGAGAATGGTCATTTAAATTTCCTGCAGTATTTTTATAGTAAAGAATGGCTGTTGTAAAGCTCCACCTCTATGAAAAGTGTTTTAAAATGATGTGAATTAATTGTGAAAAAAAGAATGTTCTTTGCAAAAACAATTGTTATTGTTTTGTTTGAGCTTAAGCCTTTTTTCAGCAACATCCTCCAGAATATTCATAGGGCTTAGTGTCCCTATACTAAACTGATAGCAAATTCATGTTTGGATTGTGCTGCTCAAACCCAAACACAGTAACAAAATTTTGGGATTGTTTTTATTATTTTCCAGAATGAATTTTCATCCTAAATCAGACTGTTATCTTTTTGTAAGATTCTCTTTCTTGTATTTTATTTGCATTCTTGAAGTTTATGTGGACACGGCTTAGTCTACATAACGTCAACACAACCTGCATTATGTGGACATCTTTTGTTCAGAAGTCCACGTAGTGAATGTTAGACTCACACACACACACCCACACACACACAGACACACCCATCAATTTGTATCCTTGTGGAGACATTCCTTTGTTCTCGTGTAGTAAAGTGTTCAATTTTGAAAGTGAAGTTTCAAAATGCTCTTATTTTAACCAGCATTAGTTACACACATGGGTGTACACACACCCATATAATACGCACAATACGTGTGCACATAGCGCACACAAAGCATTCAGAGCTGGGTCGGCTGGTACCTAGATTCTAGTTTTGAATTGTGGCCCAAGCAAGAACAAAATGATTTGTGTTTATTTTTTACTGAATAATCGCATGAATATCAAGATATCTTTGGGAGCAATGGATTTACGTTTCTTTAAATATCGTTTTAAAGTCCTCGCTACACGATAAAATTCACAGAGCATAGTTAAAATTTCAGCGTAAATTCCCCGAAACAAACAATGTGAGATAATTTATCACCCTTTTTTGAAAATTAATTTATGAAAGAACATATCACTCTTCGTCACCCTCTGTCATTAATAATTGTAAAACGTTTGTTTCAAATGTATAATTTTGACAATGGTTTCGACGAAACATCTACACATTTTTTTCGTACATGGAAAGCGCCATGTTGTGCGACGGCAGAGGCGCATTGGAGTTAACAAATACCAAACTAACGCATCACAGATACTTTATTGTGTGCGCGCTATGCAAGTGAAACTGCCGTGAGTGGAAGGGACACACCGGTGCGCGTACTAGATCGTGCACATATGGCGCGGAGTACGCACAACTAATTTGATTATAAATGTGCAAAAACCAATTCGCTCGTATCCCCCGCCCTGCAAACAGGACGCTGGGATACTCTGATGAATTCACGCTCTGATTGGTTGGATTTTGCGTAACCAGTGACCTGCGCGTCATCAAGGTCATGACTCTGAAAGGTTTGAAACGGCCGTTAAGACTGATTCATTACTCTTTTATTCCAGTTTAGAGATGTGTTTTTCCCTTTGAAAAGCGTAATAATGTAGGAAATTCTGTAAAACTTACAATTTACAATTCCTGACACTCGCTCAGGCTCCGTTTCGAATCACGAACGGTCGGATTGCATTATGCGACGCTCAAAAATTCGTCCACATGGTCCGCAATGAAACAGAAATCACATCCGGTATGGAATGTGCGCAATTCTATGGGACGTTTTCGGATAGCATTTGCGCACATTGTCTAATTGCGGTCTTGAACAGCTGCAGCCAGATGCTTTATACATAGGTCATAAGCCACTTCCTTTACAAGATTATGTGAAGCTCATCAGAGTATCCCAGCGTCCTGTTTGCAGGGCAGGGGGTACGAGCGAAACAAACCAATAATGACTTTGCGTGAGTGTCAGACATCAACAGCAATCCGTTTGAATGTCCCTCCCAGCGGTTTCCTCCCCACTCCCTTTGAAACCATTGAGTGGAACTTGTGCACAGAGTGTATAGACGGTACAGTGTTTCACCATTGGAAGGGCCTCTGTGAGTCTACAGTGATGGCTTGCTACAAAGGTCTAGTCCTAATTTTTCAAATTGTTCATATTTACCGCGAAGTTCCGACACAACGGTGCCCAGGCGTTGGTCCCGCAGACCAGCAACCGATCGGTCTGATTGTTCATCAGCACCACCTGGACGAAATTCTGACACTGCCATTCCTGCTTGCCCTTCATGGTGCAGGAGTTAATATCGGAGGTATCGGGGACCCAGGAGAAGGTGCGGATGGCCGAGGCCTGGCCGAAGGGTTGGGCTAGTTCCATGATGAAGAAGGTGTTCTTGCCACCCAAGTAGAGCTGAGAGCCGTCGAGGGAAAGGGACATGGCTGTCAGGCTCTGGCCGTGAAACGTTCTCAAACCTGGAATGGGAAACGTAGAAGAGAGGGAGAAGCAATATATGGGCATCAGCATGTTTGGGAGGGATGGTTAACCATAGAGCGAGTTCGGGCGAAGACCATTAGTCAAAAGTCATGGTTTGCACGTTGTTACATGGTCGCGTTCTTAATAATACAATAGTAATAATACCGGTTCTTATATAGCGCAGTTCCAAATTAATGACCAATGCGCTTTACAAACGAAAACAAATAAACAGAAACAGAAACATTGAAAGAGGAAAATAATAGCAAAATACAGAAACATAAGAAATCACATAAGAGATCAAGTAAACAGGTGTGTTTTGAGGAGGCTTCTGAAGGTTTGTGGGCTAGGAGCCAGTCTGATGTTTGATGGGAGATCATTCCACAATGTAGGGGCACAGATAGAGAATGACCTCTTCGGCTGTGGCGGAGCGTAATCTGGGTCGAGAAGGTTTGTACAGTGAAATGCTGTTTGAGAGGTATATGGGAGTGAGACCGTGGATTGACTTGTATACATATAACAGGATTTTGAAAATAATGCGTTGTTCAATCGGAAGTCAGTGAAGAGATTGCAATAGGGGAGTAGAGGGATGTCGGCGAGGAACTTGGAAAATGATACGAGCAGCCCTGTTTTGTAGACGCTGCAGTCGTGAGATGCTAATGCAACCGGCCGAAAGAGAGTTGGCATAGTCTAGTTTGGACAGAATCAGGCCGTCATGGCATGAGTACAGCTTTCCTGGTCGATGAAGCGACGAAGTCTGGAGAAGTTGCGTAAATTGAAATTGATTGACTGACAGAGGGATGTGACATGAGAGGACATGGTCATGGGTGGGTCGAATGTTACTCCTAGATTTCTCACTGAAATGGATGCGGACACATACTCATTATCGATTGGGAAGGTGTAATTGATGAGCTTTGGGAGATTGTTTTGAGAAACATTCAGTTTTGGAGCTGTTTAGTCTCAGCTTGTTTGCAGTCATCCAGTGTCGAACGTCATCTACGCATATCGATAGCCTATGCAGAGCAACAGCAGCTTCACCTGGAATGTTGGGATTAAAGGTTATGTAAAGTTGAATGTCATCGGCATAAAATGAAACTGTGAATACGAGCAACTGGTTGTGGATACATGATAAACGTTTTAGGTCCAATTATGGATCCCTGTGAAACGTCAAGTTTCAAATCAAAGGCATCAGATTATTGTCCACCAATGCACATCTGAAGTGTACGACCAGTCAAGTATGATTTAAACCAATGCAGAGCCGTGCATTTAATACCAAAGTTGAACGTATAACGCTGGAGAAGAATTTCGTGGTCAATGCTATTAAAGGCAGCGGATAAGTCAAGTATGATCAGGAAGGCAGAACGAATCTGGTCAAAGGCTCGGACAAGATCGTCCTTGACTTTGAGCAATGCAGTCTCGGTACTGTGTTGACGTTTGTAGGCAGATTGAAATACCTCTTCAAGACTGTTGCTATCCAAATGTTCATTGACTTGAATGAGAGCTGCCTTCTCGATCACATTGGCTAAGAAACTAATACTGGACACTGGTCTGTACTTTTTGAGATCATTGCAGCCTAAGGATTTTTTTTAATATGGGTGTTACAATAGCTCGCTTCAAAGCAGAATGAAAAATACCACTTGTGAGTTATTTGTTTACAATATCTCTGATGTGGGGTGTAATAGCATCCAAGATTCCCTTCATGAAACATGATGGAAACGCATCCAGATCACATGACTTGGTTGCACAACTCGTCATAATATTTTGCGCTACATCACTCTCAAGTTCCCTGAATGAGCATAAATCACTGAAATCAGGATTATTGATACTTTGATTTTGATTTTGCACCCAGTTAGAGCTGGACAGGTTGTTGTCTATGCCTGCCCTTATTTAAGCCACTTTATCAATGAAATGTTTAGCAAATCTGTTGCACAAGGCATGCCGATGATCAATTGATGGATAAACTCTATCAGTGCGTTTTAAGATCTCATTCAATGTTTTAAATGTCTGCTTTGCATCTGCACCATGCAAGGCATCCTTGTAGTAAGTCTCTTTGGCCTTCTCTATCAGCTTACTAACCAGATGATATTGGTTCCTATAATTTTCCCGGTTGGATGTCTGTCTAGTCTTGAGTCATTTCCCCTCCTGTCTTCGTCTCTCTTGTTTTGCTCTCCTGATGTCATTGTCATACCAGGGGAAGGAAGCCCACTCCGCTTGTGTCCGCATCTTTGATGGTGCATGCTTCTCCAGGACTTTTTCCGAGGCAGTGACAAAGCTTTCCACAAGTTTGTTGGCATTTGCTCCATCACTAGCTCCACTAGCGATGTCAAGGCTAAGGGTTATCCTTAAAAGCTTCTAAATCATTGCTGCGGAAATTCCTGCACTTCCGTGTTCTAATTCTAACACATCAAGAGGCATTTGAACGTCCTTACGCTATTCAGCTTCTCAGCTGTGAGTTAGGATGATAAGCCTCCAAAATTAGTATAACTAGTGTTTGATTTATGACGTAATTTATGCCTGTGCTCTGACGTTCAAATGCCCCTTGGTCAAACAATGGTCCAAATGTCATCACGAAACTTTTTGGTCTAGGCTCCCCGTCGATCGCTTTATGATGTGCATGGCTATTGGTAACCAATGATGCAACCGTGGTCCAGTTTCCGAATGGTCGACAAGAGTAGTCACACCATCCGTCGTTCATACGCCGTTAGTCCAACTATTATACACATTTTGACTGCTTCGAGTGGTGTAGTAAAAACTAGCCTCCCGAGGTGATCCATGAAGCATTATATTTTTCCCGAGGCGAAGCCTATGAAAATAGAATGCTCCATGGATCACCGAAGCAGTCAATATTTGTTGCAACACACACACCCCTTTGCATTTTCCACACAGTGCGCATATTACTTTGGTTGCTACGGGTATAGTACTTTGGTTGCTACGGGTATAGTACTTTTGGCCGTGCACAGCAAGATAGCAAAAATAGCGAATGTAATGTGACTCGCTCTCGGCCAATAAAGATACAGAATCTGTGGATAAGGTGTTATAAGATCAACTATACATGTAGTTCACGCCCGAACTTGTTCATGTAGTTTACTGTCTTAGCTCGATCCCACGCTACAGACTATAGTTTGACTAGTTATGTCAAATATTTGAGACCAGTCACAGCAGGGAGCCTGGGCAAAGAGAGTTTCATGATGTTTTGACCATCGTTTGACCAGAGATGTTTGCACGTTGCTACATTGTACGTATTAACCACTAGTTGACGAATGGTCCTCGATTGAACTTGCTCTATAGCGCAGTTTCGGATCTGATCTTCAGATGAAACTTTCTTGAGTCCCCTTAAGCCGGCCTCAGGTCGACCTGCGGTTTGCTTGCACCACGACGGAACCGTCGGCATCAAGCAGAAAAATAATACTCAGGACACAAAACTGAGAAATCGTGTGATTCTCTTGAAACAAGCAGCATCCCGATGCAAAATAATATCAACCATGCTCATGTCACCCAAGACGCGACGATCCACCACGATTCCACAGCATATAGACAGTCATGTGGCTTCTTTGACAACAAGGGAATAATTATGTGCTTGGCAGGTTCGGCTCGAGCCATTATCAGCGCGCATTCTGTCTCACCTTTGCATATCCTAATTCCTTATGACTTCCTTATCAAAAGTGTTCAATACGCAGCCGTACGCTCAATTAACGTTGAAATGTTTTGATCACTTTGACATAGGTGCGACGCACATCTAGCGTACAAGTAACGAATTCAGCGCATCCATTGCGTATGAGATGCGTATGAGTTGCGTATGCAGTACACAACATTATTATTTGGGCTGCGAATAGGTCAGTATGCAGTGCGCATGCCGAGCGTATTCCGGACGCATCCGACTTATGCCGACCGCATGTTTGACGCACTTCTGAGCGTATTCCCGCCGCATTTTCGCCGCTCGCCGTTCAGCGTGCGTTGCATCTGCGCTGCAAGTACGCTATGTATACGTCCAATACAGACGGCTCATATGCTGACGGGGTGTGTAGTGTGCTGATGGGACAGCTGACCCAGGCATTGTAACATGAACCTGCTAAATGCTGAAAGGGACTTTTCTGCCTGACTTGTTTGGATCCTGTTTGAATGGAAGTGAAGATCAAATCTGACACTTCATGGGTCATTCACTCTTCCCCTTTGGCGGAAAATAGAAGTCCCTGGGTATATGGGAATTTCTCCAAGAAGAACTTTAATGAAAAGCCTAATGTTAACTTTGTACAGCATGGAACTCTGTCTGACTTGAAAACTGAAGTCGCCAGGTCCACATGAGTGCATTTATTTTCTTGGCTTTTCTCGATCCTTACGCGTGCAGTTCTTTTTAAATCATCGACAACATTTGGGATGAGTTGAAAGTTTGAAATACAAGGAATTCATACATGTACCATCGGGATACTATCCTATGGAGAAGCAGACTAGCAGGTTTTTGAGATTCAGAAAGGTCCTTTCAAAAGTGTTTTTGAGAGTTAGTGGTCCTTCAGTGTAAGAACATGTATAGATGTATGTGTTGAATGAATAAGGGAATAAATATGTGCTCTGAAGGTTTTTATCACTCTGTTTATCCCAAAAGGGGCCTGGTTATTTTGACCATCTCTCAGCCGGGGGGGGGGGGGGATTCCGCCCCCCCCCAAGATCTCGGCCATCGAGTGAGGAAAAATTTTGAAACTCGGCACATGCATAGAGTAACTCTTCCTAAACATACCCAAGAAATCTCATGACTATAGGTCAAAGGGTTTTAGAATTATGGCTAATTAATTATTCATATGTACGAATGGCAATTCTGCTCTGTGTACACGATGTGTATGCGAAAATTCAGTTTTCACGGCGCGTAGCGCCGGAAAATATTTCGCTTCGCGGCAACATGTGGTCCGATTTTTATGTTTTTGGTATCAAAAGAGGCGCAAAGCTTGAGGCTAAAAAGTCATAACAGCTCGGGTCGCGAAACAATTTTTTTAGAGGCTATCACGGAAAATGTTGCGGATTCCGCCCCCCCCGGCCCCTTTAGGGTTAAGACCACTTACAGTCTGGGTGCTGATAATTACCCGAGCCGGAGGCGAGGGTAATTATCAGCACCCAGACTCTAAGTGGTCTTAAACAGAGTGATAAATACCGACGGAGCACACATTTATTCCCATTCATAAATACCTCTCCGGTAAAAAAAATCATATAATTCGTTCAAAACATCCCGATTTTGTTCCACAAATTCACTTTATGCTTTTTGAAACATCCCTCTTGCAAAATAATGGAGTGTTCAGCTGGCGAGTAATAGGTAAACAACCCTTTTATGGAGATTGACGCGCGCGTATCATGTTCTGCGCGATGTCGCGCAGAACGCACCTGGCGCGTTGCGTTTTGAATTTAGAACTATAAAATTCTGACTCCCTGGTAGTGTTGCGCATGCCTATGTGAGAATTGTGAACGTTCAACCAATGAAACGATAAGAGGCACTGGATTTTTCGGAGTCCACATTTTATTGTGACACTGGAAAAGTGTTTAAGACCAGCTAGCCATGTCTTTATCATCCGTTTAAGACCGGCCACGTGACGGGCTCTCGACCAATAGGAATAGGCTAAAGTGTCTGAGGTATTTATGAATGCATGTTAAACATGTACAATGTTGTCAACGGAAAGCAATTAACCCTAACCTCTCCAACTTCGTCAAAATCCATCCCCCATTTTGATGAATTTTGGGGGACTTGTTGGTCCTGCAGGCCTGGTTTGACTAAATATTGAGGAGTATGATGGACTTGGGCCTAGAGGCCCAAAGCAAAGCATGCATTGGAAGCAGTGTGATTGATGTATTTTGGCGGACTTGGTACAGTAAAAGACAGTAAGGAGTTAGGGTTAATAATGGATGTTTTGTTTGTTTAAATTTAAAGTAGCCTACACTGTCCTTAGACTTAAATCATTTTAAATGATTGTATTTGAAAAAAAAAATCAACTGAAAAATACCAAGAATGTCCAATGTTTGTCGCATACATATAGAAACAAAAATGTTCAGATTCCCCCGTTTCTTCAAATTGTGTGATCTTTGGAGTTCCCCACCATAATGTTATCATCAAGTTGCCTGCGGTATGCCAAAGGAATGTGCTTGAACTCATTCCTGACAATGGGAAGGTTCACAGTGCACAACTAATAAGGGGATTCATCCTCCATTGTTGGCCAGGTGTTATCAGTCTGTTATGTGCAGGACTCTAGAATTTGTGGCTGGACAGATTACAAAGGGCAGGGTCTGCATTAGTACAATGTATTTTATACACATTTACCTCGTACAAAATTTTACAGTAGTTAACCTAAGAATTAAAGGCAGAAAAGCGGTGTCCAAAGTACATGTATGGTACACGCATGGTTACATGTATGGCTGGCAGTAACCCACATGTCTGGCACACACTATACTGTTTCTTCTATTGGTGCATGCGCTAGCTATTGCCATCGATGGCAAAGTTGCGCTGGCAGTAACCCAAATGTCTGGCACACACTATATGGTTGCTTCTATTGGTGCATGCGCTAGCTATTGCCATCGATGGCAAAGTTGCATGTATTTTGGAGAAACTTTTGTATAAAACAGTTCAGAACTGGTTGTACACATGAACTTTACCTCAAATCCAGTGAACTAATGACATTTTGTGTCAACTGAGATCTACATATCAGGTATATGAGAATGATTTACTGAGGGAATTTATAATTTTTGGGAATGTATCTTATTGATCAAATTGAATAAAACATTAATTGAGTGCCATTTAAATTTTGAAGCTTATATCTTGTTTGTCCAGCTGAATGAAACCACTATCCTGAACTTGAAGTCGGTAATTAATTCAAGCATTCAGCATTTAAAAAGTGGAGAATTTGTTCTAAATTTGGGTAAACCTTGAGTCATAGACAGTTGTCACATGAAAAGGTCAAAACATAAATGGCTGACAGGATCAAGGTTGGGTACATGTACATATATTTTAATTAGCATAATAAATACAACTTCTGTAGTACTGTTCAATTTTTGTAAGTAGTCTTTTCTATGAACTCCAAGTTTATGCATTGTCCTTCGTGGGAGTGTAAAAACACAAGAACTGTTTGTAAAATGGATGACTTTCTGTCCATCACAAATATTGTGTTATCTTGAGCAAATTTGCATGGTGGTTTTTACTTGGAAGGTAGTTTTTGGTAGCCTCTACCCCCAACAAATATTTGTACATATTTGGAGCATTATCCTCAACTACTTATTACTTATCTCATATCCTGGTGGTTTGTCATGAGATTTTGGTGGAAAAATCCACGCATAAATCATTCTTTACAATTCAAGTTCTTGATAAATCCCCCACAGCTACAAAGATTTTTTTTTTATTGACACTTTTTATTGACCTTTTTTGTGGTCAGAAAAACAACAGGCAACGTGTGGGTAGGCCTAATATCACAATGTGTGGGTAACATATAAATCACACGTAACATTTTAAAAAAGGGGCCCAGCTAACAATTGTACCTAGATAACGATGTTCGTTCACCCCCCCCCCCACCCTTGACCCTAAATTCCCCGCTTAGTTTACTCAGAAGACCATGTTCATCAGAATCCATCATTCACTCTGCTTCACAAAATGCTTCAGGACCAAATCCATGGAATTGAAATCCACCTCTGGTGATGGTGGATTTTGATTACTTGGTACACATGGCTTATCTGCCAACATCCCCCAAAATATGGGGATGGATTTTGAGGGAGTCAGTAAGGTTAGGGTTAAGTTTTAAATGGAACATCAACTTAAAAAAAAGTATCAAATGAAAATTTACGTTATTATCGCAGCTCCAATTCTATGTTCTGTATTACCACAGGGCAGCTAAGAATTTCGGAATACTGCACTGTGCAAAGGAATTGACAGTCAGTCTAGCGGGTTGGGCGCGCTCTGTTTATTTAGTCTGCCACTCACTTGAAAAACTCTTTGAGCATTCGACGAAATTATGAAGAAATGTGCCAGCCTGTGGTTAGGGCTGTCTGATATGTTAGTACTTTTTAAACTTAATTTCATGGCTTATCAAATGTGCTGAATCTTGTTATCAAAATATTACAGCCACAATGTTCAACGAGTATGCTTACAGGTTTAAAAACAAAATTATGTGTGTAAATCTTGTTCTTTAAATGTACGACCATGATTTGGAGATTAAGTGTGTTCGTCAGAAATTCACTACAGGATTACTCATACCCATAGCCAATAAGGGATTATATTTGTGGTGTTTGGTACGTTAAGCCTTTAGGAAAAACATGCAGAGAGTGAACGAGATTTGTTCAATCGCATAGGTCAATATATTTTGGCTCGGGTTATTGTGAAGATGTTTTTGAAGCAAGTTAGAATACTATCAGATAGCAGCGGGGATACCTTTGTGCGCGTTTAACGATTGTGTCCACACTTGCGATAAATTTGTTTTACAAAAATTCGAAGACGCATGTTGCCCTTTTTTCACAACTTATTGGTCCCCATCACATCAAGAAAAATCTTGTTACTTGAACCTCCCTGTGTGTGAGGTCCTTATTTTATCAGAGATCTCTACATCCAGCTCCAAAACAATTTTCAAACAATCCACACTGATATATAAATAATACCCTTAGAAGTTGCCCTTTCAAAAAATAAGATGGTAACATACGATGGAAAAGGATCCTAGCATGTGAAGAAAATAAGTAGTGTAATCTTTGTTGTTTCCGTCTCAAGTGTCCAGAAAAATACCGTTCCTGTAGAAACACGATCATTGCCACTTGTGCCTTGAACATTACGTACTCAAAATGGGGGAGAATCGTCTTCCAATGACCTTCCGCACCCCAAGGGCGGATCCAGGGGGGGGGGCAAAGGGGGCCATGCCCTCCCCCCCCCAAAAAAAAAAAAACCAAACCATTTTTTTTTTTATGTGACATCGCAATAAAGGCAGGCAATGAGTACATCACCATCTTTTCCTCAAAAAACATTGGTTAAAGTGATCAGAAATTGCCTCAGATCCCACCACAGAGCATCTAGAATCCAAAACAATTTCTGGGTCTTAAGCGGGCCCCGAACCCCACGCCGTAATTTTTTTGACCCACTTTTGGGGGGACCCAAATTTTTTTTGGCCCCCCCAAAAATTGTGTTTTGGATCCGCCCTTGCCGCACCTGGGAATGGTTCTCATTGTGTCCCCGCTTCTTTTATCGAAGACAGGTAAGTCTTATCAATGGAAGTGGAGATTAGAAGCCCTGAAACGTTATTATGGGAGAGGTAGTCAGATAGAAAGTGGCATTGTTGGGGATTATCTTGCAGTCTGCTGCACTTTTGTGTTGTACGACCCCACCAGGTAAACGGACAGTTATTCACTAGACCCAACACAAATGAAACACAACTCTCGAGTAAAATGAAACTATACATGAATTCTTTGGACCATCAAAAAGTTTCCAGTAACCAGGGAAATTTGCTAGGTAAAAATTACACATACATTGTACACCGACTTTAACACATTTGTTTGCTTTTCACTTTCAATATAAAAATGCATGACTTTCCCGGGAGTTTTTTTTTTAAGTCTTTTTTAAAAATATATATTGAATTTCCAAAATTTGGTATTAAGTTTGAGATTATTTTCTTAGAGTTGACCAAGGTTAGGTTTCAAAGTTTTGTTTAGTCAGTCATGTACGTACGTAACCAAACCATGAATTGCAATTGAATCATCTACATGGTGTGTGTCAACGAACCCACACGACAAATAAATACGAGGACAATGCTAAATGTGACTTACCTGTGTAATAACTTTCTGGTGTTACAAACTTCGGGACTTGGTCCTGAAACATGCCCGACGTTGCTGTAATGACCCTTGCATAGCACACCAGGTATTCAAGCACTAATATCACCCAGGTCCTGTGAACAAGCCTCCTCACTGGTAATAATTTCTCCATAGTTTTTTTTTTTTATTGGCAGGTTTGTAGTTTTAAAACAAATATAGAAATTCAAGGCAAAACAAATTTAGGATCCGATATGGAAGCAGATGACGATGATGAATGCACAGATCAGATGTTGCAAACTGAATTGCAGAGGTTTCCTCGGAACTCAGGAGAAAAGGATGCGGTTTATCTTTGATCTTTCTGTGGGTCAAAAAAAAACAAGAGAAAGAATTAGACTATGTACATGTTTACTCGCATTTCTAACTCTCTGAGACTCATCAGAATAAACCAGCAGGTTTTAAAATTTGGAGGATTTTGGAGAATGGAAAAGGTAGTCAGGCGCCATTACTGTGCAATTTTCTTTAAAAGGATTTAATGCTCCTCCAAAGTTGAAGTACAGAAAAGGAGTACTTGAATCCAAGCATGATTATTGATATCAGATGATTAAAATGACCCAGTTCCTTACACAGTATTGTAGCGTTGAACGATTCTGGGATTCGTCACACACACACAAAAGGAGAACTATCACACAGGTATTAACGTTTCTGCTGGCTCTAGGCTGTTTATTCTGTACGGAAATTACACTGTCAAACACAACCATTATCCCAAACAAAGAGGCCCCAACAACACAACTGCGCATGCGCCGCCCGGAAGAACGGGTCTCCCCGGCTGGCCACCAGGGGCTCCACTGCGCGGCTCCACCGTGGGACCGCGCTGGTGCCCTCTGGCGGCCTACTGGCACGGAAGCCACACCGCCCCCCTCGAAGACCTTGTTTGTCCCCAATTAGAGCGCTGGCATCCGTAACCGGGCAACCAGGAAGACCCGGCCCGGAGGCGCATGACACAACAACAACAAAAAAATGCTGCCGCAATCAAGGCAACAACAAAAAGAAATACAAGCGAAGAACAAGAAATCAAAACGTCAAAGGTCTAGTTGGTGGTTGGCGGCCCGTGCTGAACTTCTGTTTGCCGGAACAGTTGCTTCCAGAACCCCTGAGGGACGCCAGCAGGGTAGCGCGGGGGCGGAGGCGCTCCAGGGGGCTAGCATTCCTCCCAGTGTAAGTTGGGCGGACACGGAGGGGTCCACGAAGTGCTGGGCGTACTGCTGTCCCTGGTACGTCTGGAGGAGACGCCCAGGCACTTCGTAGGAGTGGACCACTCGTGGTCGCATCAGCCGGTGACCGTTCTCGTCCACTCCATGGAATGTCCTCTCCAGTCGCCATTCGTCTCGTGCGTGCTTGCAGAGGAGTTCCACCATGTGCGTGGCGGCCTCCCTGGTTGTGTTGTCCTGTTGGAGGGCGCCGGCCGTCTCTAGTCGTAACCAGGTCCCGTCCGGAAGATTCACCCGAGACCCGACCGGCAGAACCCTCCGCTGTCCATGCCACGGCAGGGCCGGAACCTCGGGGCCATCGGGGGCTCTGTCATTTTCCGCCCTCTGCCCGTGGCGGCTGGGGCGATCGGGGCTGGCCTCTGCCGCTCTGCCGAAGTGACAACGCCTGCCCTGTGCACGGCTCCATGGGAATCGCTGGTCGGGATTCTGCTGGGGTGATGGCTGGCGGGGTCGCTCGGCTCGGTCCCGGCTTCGCCGACCGGGCGACCTGCCCTGCTCAGGGCGGGAAGGCCGGGAGGACCGCTCCGGGTGGTCGCGGCCCCCGGCCTCCCTGAAGACACTGGACTTCCCTGTCGTCTGAGGGAAGGCGGCGACGGGGACCGACCTATCGGACCACACCGTCCGCATGGAGGTAGGTCCGGGGTCACCTGCCGGGAGGGATGAGGCGGGAACGGGACCTGGTCCATGTCGTCGTCACTGGCATGCACCTCTAACGCATCGGCCTCCGCCATCACCACGGCCACGATGTGCCCCTGGCAGTAACGACGGTGTCTGGCGCGGACGTCGGCCCTTAATAACCGGACTCTGCACCCTCTCTCGCGGGGGTATGGGCGCTCCGCGTGGAGCGCCACACACGCGGTGTTTACGTGCCTCCGCAATTTCTCCTTCCTGCCAAACCTCTTGGCGCAGTGCGGGCAATGTATCGGGGCCGGGTCCATCCTGCAGGTAGAAGAAACAGAAAGACATTTGGTTAATTGTTGGCAGTAACGGCCTGGTCGGACAATCTTCCGGCCACTCCGGGTGACTCTCCCAGGGACCAGCGCCGATGGTGGGGGAGATGGCTGTCCCCCTTCGGGCTCGGCCAATTCTGCACTGGATCCCACGTCCTCGCTGCCTAGCCCATCAGGAGCAGCAGCCGTCGTCGCCTCCGACGGCAGTGTCCCCTTCCCCGTCGGAACTGGTGGTGGCTCCTCCTCGGTTAACGGACCACCCACCTCGGCTGGCGGGTCCTCACTGGTAGTGCCAGTTGACGGACTCGGTTGTAGCATCACTCGCCTCTCTTTGGTTGGTGGCGGTCCCCCCCCCCCCCCGCGGCTCGATTGCCCCCCCCCTCCCCTTTGGTGGGTGCTGCGCTCTGTGCCTCAACCAGTCCACTTGGGCGTCGCCCAGATATGGCTTGAGCCGGTTGGAATGGACTACCTTGGCTTTGGCTTGAGGGGATTTCTGGATACGAAACGTGACGTCGTCCATCCGTTGCGTCACCACGAAGGGCCCGTCCCTCCAGCAATGCAACTTAGGCGCGCGACCCACATTCTTGGAGGGGGTATTCAACCACACAGATTGGCCAGGCTAATAGCTGGCACATTCTGCTCGACGATCGTAATGTCGCTTTTGATATGTCTGGCTCTACCGCAGATGATGACGGGCAAACTCGTGGGCGCGCTCTATCTTTGTCCTCAACCCCTACACATATTCTTGCCTTGCTGCGCCTGCCTTTGGTTTCTCCGGCTGGCCCACCACCAGGTCCAACAGAAGTCGCACTTCTCGGCCGAACATCAGCACGTTGGGCGTGAATTTTGTGCTGTCGTGCTGGGAGGAGCGGTACGCCATCATCGCGTACGGTAGGTGTTCGTCCCAATCATCCTGGTTCTCATGAACAGGCTCAGCATCGTCTTGACTGTGCGGTTGAACCGCTCCACCATCCCGTCGGACTGGGGGTGGAACGGCGTGGTGCGGGTCTTTTGGACGCCGAGCAGCTTGCAGGTGCCCTGGAAGAGCTCGGCTTCGAACTCCCTCCCTTGATCCGTGTGGATCTCCAAACCGGGTGATGCTCCAAACCGGGTGATGACCTGTCCGACGAGGACTCTGCCGACCGTCTGAGCAGTCTGGTCCGGGATCGGAAACGCCTCCACCCACTTCGTAAAGTAGTCGGACACCACCATGATGCTAGAATTCCCTGTCCTCGTCCTCGGGAGTCGACCCGTGAGGTCGATCGCGAGGCGCTCTATCGGAGCCCCTACCAGGTACTGTTGAATTGGGACCTTGAGAGGTCGAGGAGGTGACTTCTTGGACCCACACTTGTGGCACTTTTGACACCACTCTTCTGCCTGGCGTCGCATCCCCCTCCAGAAAACCGGAGCCTGTCTCAGCCGTGCGATGGTCCGGGTGATCCCCAAATGTCCTGAAGTCCTAATGTCATGCGTTAGTCGCAAGAAGTCGTCTACTTTCGCTCGTGGTACCACGACCTTCCATACCGAAGGTTCGCCATTGGGCTGCTCCCACTTCACCTGCAATACACATTGGGACGGCCGCAGTGTCTCCCACTTAGCCCACGAGTACTTGGGGCCTTCACCCAGCGCCGAGACGTCCCGCCAACTGGGTTTGGGGACCCCGTCCCCCAGCCGCTGCACGATCCTGTACAGTTAAGGGTCACTCCGTTGTTCCTGTTTGAGTTCCTCTTGGTCCCAGGCTTCCAGGAGTCCCGCTGAGCAAGGGGGCCTTCTTTAGTAAAGCATTTCTGACTTGCTTCCTTGGATCGCCCATACTGGCCACACGGGATTCTAGAGACGGCGTTGGCGTTTGTGTGCTTCCTACCCGCCCGATGTTCCACATCGAACTCGTAGCACTCCAGCCTCTGAATCCACCTGGCCGTCTGCCCCTCCTGTTCGCGGAAGTTTAACAGCCATCGCAGCGACCCGTGATCCGTTCTGAGCAGGAACCGTTTACCAAGAAGGTAAAGTTTGAAATAGTGAACGAAATGGACCACGGCCAGCAACTCTCTCCGAGTGGTACAGTAGTTGCGTTCGGCCTTAGACAGGGTGCGGCTGCCATAGGCAACCACTCGTTCACCATCGTCTCCCTCCTGCGACAGCACTGCTCCGATGGTGAAGTAGCTGGCATCTGTGTCCAGGACGTAACGATGTGTTGTATTCGGATAACACAACACGGGTGTTGTGGTCAATGCGTCCTTGAGGTGCTCCAGCGCTGACTGGCAAGCACTTGACCGGGAGAACGCCTTTTGGTTCTTGGTGGTAAGGGCATAGAGGGTACGAGCAATCTCGGCGAAGTTTGCAATGAAGCGCCTGTAGTAGGTCGCGAGACCCAGAAAACTCCGCACTTGGGTCAGGTTTGCTGGATGCGGCCAGTTCCTGATCGCCGCGACCTTTTCCGGATCCATCCTTACTCCCTCGGCCGACACGAGGTGACCCAAGAAGGACACCTCCGTCCTGAAGAGATCACATTTCTGCGGCTTGAGCTTCAGGCCGGTGGCTCGGAATCGCTCCAGGACAGTGGTCAGCCGCTTGTGGTGTTCCTCGAAGTCTGCCCCCCACACGATCACGTCATCCACGTAGACTACCGCCACCTGCCACTGCAGCTCCCTCAATACTTGTTCCATCAGACGCTCAAATGTCGCAGAAGCGTTGCAAAGGCCAAAGGGCATCACGGTGAACTGGTACAGGCCGTCCTGCATCCCAAAAGCAGTCTTCTCCCGGTCATTCTTGTCCATGCCGACTTGCCAGTAGCCACTGGCCAGATCAAGGGTGCTGAACCACCTTGCCCCACTCAAAGCGTCAAGGTTGTCCTCGATTCTGGGGATGGGGTACGCGTCTTTCATTGTCACCTCGTTGACTTTCCGGTAGTCGACGCAGACCCGCACAGACCCATCCTTCTTCCGGACCAGTACCACCGGGGATGACCAAGGGCTGTGGGAGGG